ATCCATCCATCCATCCAGTGTGTGAATGTGTGTGTGAATGGGTGGATGACTGGATATGTAAAGCGCTTTGGGGTCCTTAGGGACTAGTAAGGCGCTATATAAATACAGGCCATTTACCATCCATCCACCCATCCATCCCTCCATCCACCCATCCCTCCATCCATTTAACCATACATCCATCCCTCCATCCATCCATCCCTCCACCCAGTTAACCATACATCCATCCCTCCATCCATCCATCTCTCCATCCACCCATCCCTCCACCCATTTAACCATACATCCATCCATCCCTCCATCCATCCATCCCTCCATCCACCCATCCCTCCACCCATTTAACCATACATCCATCCATCCATCCCTCCATCCATCCATCCCTCCATCCACCCATCCCTCCACCCATTTAACCATACATCCATCCATCCATCCATCCATCCCTCCATCCATCCACCCACCCATCCCTCCATGCATCCATCTCATCCCCAGGTGGTTCCGGGTTGGTTCATCGGGGTGTGACTGTTAGATTGAAAGCTGGTATGAGTGACTGAGAATGAGATCTTCATCTCTGCTGCTTGAGAACTTTGAAATGTCATATTTGAGAACAGGATGGAGGTTTGGGTGTGACTTCATCAGGGGTGTTAAGATGTTAAATCTGCAGCAACACTTACTATGAAGAACCATTTTTGTAATTGGATCATTTCTGTCATTATCAACCTAATTCGATATTTCAAACATTAACACATTTCCCAGTCCAACATTTTGATTATTCCACTTCACTGAGGTCTCCTCTTCTTCCTCAGATGTTGAATGGTTTGGAAATCAACCTGACCACCTCCTGCTCCATCAGGCCGGTCCTCACCCAGCTTCCTCCACCCCCTCCTCCACCCCAGCCTCTGCAGCCTTCAGCCTGGACCCCTCTGTCCCAGCAGGAAGGAGCTCAGGAGCTTCTGGACAAAGGACGTGGCTTCAGCAGGAGACTGACACAAAGTCAGGGGTGTGGAGGCAGAGACTGGCCTCCGTCTTCCTCCATCTCCTCCTCACATGCTGCTTTTTCCTCTTCTGACTCCTCAGATCAAGAATCACAACCTTCCTGCTCCTCCTCTTCTTCCTCTTTTCTCCTGCACTTCCAGCCAGCCTCATCCCTCAGCTCCTCCTCCTCCTCCACCTCCTGCTCTTCTCTCCCAGTCTTCCAGCCTGCTTCCTCCTTCATCTCTTCCCACTCCTCCTCCTCAACTCCCTTGTCTGAAGTGGCGTTGAACCCTTCTCCCAAACTTGTTCCAGTCTTCAAGCGTCCATCGCACCGCGTCACCATTTCCCTGCTGCGTCCCCAAAATCAGAAGCAGCTGGGTGGAGCTGTGGAAGGGTCAGCGAGGGTGACGGTGCCTTCCTTTAGGAAGGAGATTCCCGCCACTGCTCCTCGCCTTTCTTCTTTATCAGCTGCTCCCCCCCCAGTTCTTCCTTTGCCCATCATCCCTCACTTCAGCCGCCATCCCAAACTCCACAGCAGCACTGCGGCTGCTCACCCGCCTCCGGCTCACATCAAGCGCGTCTCCAGCCTCAGTCCTGTAACAAAGTTTAAACCGAGGATTATCATCCCTCCAAAGCCGGAGATCAAGACCGGCTCCAAAACCACCCTGAAGGTCAGCTCTGAAAGTGACGCTGTCACTGGCTGCAGAGATGAAACACAGACGTCCTCTGAAACCTCAAACAATGAAACCTCCAAACGCAGCACGAAGGTGAGTCTTCCTGAATAAACACCATGGTGGTGTCACTTTTTTAAAGAGCCTACAGAAGATGAATTTCAAGTAGAGTTTGAGTAATTCTGCTGATTGGCTCACAGACAAACAGCACTGAACCTCTCGCCTTTCAGAGGATCCCAACAAAAAAGCCACAAACACCTGTGTGATGTGTGACCTTTAGGCCCCACCCCTCCACTGAACTCTCAGGTGTTTCCTCACGCACCTGTTGCTGTGCTTCTTTTGATGTTTCAGAGAGTTTCTTTTGACCTAAAGACGAAGAAATCCAGAGCCGCAGTTGGAGACGTGGACGTGGAGAATATGGTCAAAACCAATCAGGTCAGAAGATGAACTTCCTGTTTCCTCATTTCCATTTCTCTGTTTTTACTTTCTCCTTCTTTTCTGACCTTCTCACCAGTGCACACATGAGCTGACACATGAGAACAAACCCTCACATGTGACCAGTTAACAAGCTGGATACAAACGTTTCTTGTTATTGGGGAAGTGTGAAGCACAAACAATTAGCGTCTTCTTCTTAGTGGTGTCTGATTTGTTGGGGCTGTGTGGAGGAGACTTCACAGTCTTAAAGCTGTCATCAGACCAGCACAGAAACTAAAGCCGGAGCAGATTTTACACACGACAACAATCGGTTTGGGTTGGAGTGGACTCTATATTTACAACAGCTTTAGCATTTCACCTACTTGCTGTTCTCTACCAGACTCCATTCAGAAAAACACAAATTTTACCGCACATAAACATGGGTGGTGTCTACCTACCTCTACTTGTTTAACACAAACCAGTTAACTAGTTTAGCTACTTTCCCCGTCATAACAGCTTATGGTTCAAAGTTTGCATTGTCAGGGGGCGTGTCTTCGCTGATTGACAGCTGGATGGTGAGATAGGTGGACCTGTGAACTGTGCTAATGCTAGTTTTACCTGCTGTGAGGTTAATGTGCCCACAGACGTGTGAGCTCCAGTTTTGGACCTCCCTCCATGTGTTCTAAAGCTGGAGCTGCTTCTCCCGTCTGTCTGCCGTACATCGGCATGTTGGGCTGGTAAAGTTTGCCGTCTAACTGACCTCGCAGCCTCCGTCTGTGCTGTTTATGAAGCTGCAGGGCGAGGAAGAGGAGGCTGATGAATTTCCACTTGTACTGTATGTACAGCTTCAGCTTCCTCATAAACATCCTTGAGGAGGACCGTGCACATTACTGTGATGTATTAAAGTACGTTGGCGTGATGAATAGCAAACACGGCATCCTGCACTGTCTGCCTCAGTTTCCTCAGCAACGCTGCTTCACGGGAGGGCGAGGACTGTTAAAGTGATGAATGGGCAGGAGGAGGTGGGAGCCCGGAGGGCGCCGAGCACATTAATAACAACATTCATCAGTTTTACAGCCCCAACCTGCAAGTTTTCAGGAACAATACGCCGCTTACATTTTCACTCTTATTTACACACTGCCAGCACATTGTTCACAAAAACAGCTCCGTTACACCAGCACGGGGACATTTTCACACATTTGAACCTGTTTTCAGTCTGGACTCAGTTTAAAATCCAGTCCAGAGGCTTCAGTGATCAATGTTTCATAGTATCTGAAGATATTTCAGCTGTTAGATTAGATCATCAATCTGATCTGTGCTCTTTCCATGGGGAGTGAGAGGGTTTTATTGGTGTTCAGACCTGCTGGGACACACACAGTTTCAGATGTGTTGATCTTAAGGACAGAGCTGCACATCAGTGCCCTCTTCCCTCCATCTAACTGTTGTGAGTTTGAACTTTTCTGGGGATGAATGTGTGATGATGAGGTGATGAAGAGGCAGTGAGTTGTTGAATGAAACGCACAATTTTTGAGGTTTTGTGGGTTTTTCTTCCATGTTTGTAGGCCTTGCTGTTTTCTGCTTCACTTCTTTACAAAGCAAAATCCAAATATTGGCATAAAAAAGGATCACGCCAGCTCAGTAGAAGCACAATAGAATCCTCATGGTTTTATTCATGTGGAAACATAAACGTTTGCTCAAACAGTAACTGCTCCGAGATCTCTGTGAGACTGAAACAGTCTGACGTGAGCTCGTGTGCATGAGAAAATCACTGATCATATATTCTGATGTTTAACTGAAGATTTAACAAAATCATGAACGACTGACGGCAACCATGGCAACCTGCTAGTGACCAAAGCAATCACCACGAAGGTTCAGCACTCGACCCTCTCCCAGCTCTTCCTCGCACCCTGTGGTTGCCAAATGGTTTTAAACCATTAAAATGGGAATAGATCTACTCTGTGTGCAGGCTGACTAGCCCACTAAATGACATCATTAGTGTTCTGACAATCGTTACTGTGTCACTGGTCGGGGTCAGACTTACTAATCAAATTTTAGTTGACGCCCAATGCTGGTAAATTACTGTCCTAAATGTTATGCAGCCATCTGCCACCAGGTGGCGCATCATAGCTGAGAAACACCCTAGAGTCTCAGCCTGATCTTAACAGTGTTAGGAGGAGGTTGTGGATACAAGTGGCTGAAATGGGCTTTTTCTGGAAGGTGGATGGTCTCTGCCGTAGGGATAGGGTGAGGTCCAGAGTGCAGCTACTCCACATCGATACGACGCGGCTGAGGCCATCGCCTCCTGGGTCGGGGGTTCCGGCCTGTGCTACCAGGGGGAGGGCCTGTTGTAGACCCGGCACACAGAGATTACCGGCTTCACTGCTGAGAAGCAGAAATAAATAACTGGATGATTTCTTGTTTTGTAATTTTAGAATTGAATTTTCAAACAGCGTGCGTCGTTCATGGCACACGGCACAATACGCCACTTTGCAGTCGCAGTTTGTTGGTTAGTTTGTCAGAGATGACCTTATTAGTGACACGTGTGTGACCTCAGACAGATCCGGGAGTGTCTGAGAGGTGCAGCGAGCACCTGGACAGCTTTAACACCGGGAAATAAGGAAAACTGGTGAATTGGCTGGGAATGACTGCTGACGGGAACGTGACGGCACATCCGTCTTCATTACGCTCGTTTTCCTTCCTTCCCCTCCTCTCATCGCTCTTCATCTTCACCCGTCACTCCTCGTTCTGTCGCTCGCCCCTCGTCGTGTCTCTCGCCTCGTTCACCTCTTCCTTCTTTCTGTCTGCAGTTGTCCAAGCTGAACTCTGCGACTCTGCTGCTGTGGCTGAAAGCTCGAGGCGTGAACGTCAACGCCAAACACAGGAAGGAGGAGCTGATGATGAAGGTCATGAGCTGCCTGGCTGAGGCCTGAAGCACACACTGGCTCACCCCTCGCTGCATTTACTTAATAGAGTTACTTTGGAGTATTAACGCTGCGCTAAGCTTTCCTTTTAAGAATTTGATGTAAAATCTTATCAGCCGGGACAGATGAGAGCTTCTCATCCTCGCTAATTGAGATGCTGAACATTTGCCAACGTTAGATTTTGGTGTCAGATGAAGTCACAGCGGGTCCAGAGGAGGACCTTTGATTAAATGAAAGCACTGTTGGAAGCTTTCTCTTCCATGTGACGCCTTCACTCGTGTTCACTTTGCTTTATTGTTCAGCTTATTAACTGTAAAACTGTTCATTCACTGTGTGGAAGGTCCTCAGTGTTCCTACAGCAGCTGGTTCTGAGTCTTTTACCTGTGAGCCTCTAAAGAGCCACAGGGAGGTTTTACAAGCTGTTCACAAAGGTCATGTCTTCACAGAAAGCACCAGCGTTCTGCAGCAGGTGTGTTTGTTCTGGAGCTGCTCACCACTGTTCACGACTGCACTGTAATAATTCTTATTGAAGGTTTGAGAATAAAAACGAATTATTAACCAGAGTGCATGTTTGTTTTTTACCTTTGTCTTTTAAAGGTTTGTAGCTGTTTGCAGCACACACACACACAGATGTGCTCGTCCTTGTGTGAGTTAAGATGTTCGGGGCTTTTCTCTCATCATGTATGAAGGCCGTCAGATTCGTTGTGGTGAGCTGGGTCTCGTTCTGACTGCAGAGTAAAGAATATGCAGCGTTTGTTTGTGTGTCAGCATTTTACACAATTTTACACATTTTACCTCGTTCACGTGCACATCTGTCCAGCAGAGAAACATCTGTGCTGTTCTGCACCGTTTGAAACCACATCAACATGATGAAAAACAACCTGCTGGGAAAAATAATGCAGTTCCTCTGACGCCCACCAGAGGCTCCAGCAGGGAGTCAGTCCACATAGACGGCCTTGTTAATAACAGACCGTTTAAGTCTGCGCTGCGGCTTTGGACATTTTATTTTTGCACCAACCTGTGTGTGTGTGTGTGTGTGTGTGTGTGTGTGTGTGTGTGTGATGCTCTCATACAGTCCAAACTAGCAGGCATGACCTCATCCAGATGTGATCATAAAAACGTTGTAATGGCCTGAAGCTGAAGTTGTTTTTGCTGCATCCATCTCTTACATACAGTCCATACTGACAACATCATGAGTGAGCAAAGTGCAGAGATCTGAGTGTTTGTGTGTGTTAATGACCATCACTGAGCCTGAGGCTTCACAGCAGAGCGTTCACTGGTTCCTCAGGTCTGTGCAGCGTGTAAAACAGTGAAAAATGGTTTCAGTGCAGAATGAATCAAGAACTATGATGAAGGCAGACTCCTGCAGGCGGACATGATGTGTTCGTGCTTACATGTATACTTTATAAATCCCTGGGAACAGCTTAAACTAATCTCTGTCCTCCAGTTACAAACACACAGAGCTCGGAGGACGGCTGATGATGATTGAGGGGAAATATTTGCGCAGTGTAAACATCTTAAAGCTCCAAGTAATGAGGCAGACATGGAATCTGCTCCAAACTGTAATAATAAAACACAGCAGCATTTGTTATTGGAGGAGATCGGTGTGTGTTTGTGTTTTGGATATCAGCTTCCAAATGTGCAGTGAAAGTAAGGTTTTCAAAATAAACCTCCGTCTGCCAGAGCGGTGGGTTGGACTGTTTGTGGGAACGTCCTAAAGCACGCCTGCAGGCGGGGCTCTCCTACCTACACAGACCCGATCCATGCGTCCCGGGGCTCACGGTATACAAATATTGCCGTCTAATGTATAAATGCCAACACACTGCAAGCCATCGTGATCACTGACTCGTGTGACTCGTCTGCAGTGGAGGACTCTATTCTGCTTATTTTCCTATACAGAAGCAAGGTTGTTGAGCCTGTATGTCATTTGGTGGTTCAGTTGTCGTCCTGTAAACTGATTTCAGCTTTAGCTGGTTTATCACCGTTAATCACAGCCTGACAGATTGCTTGTAATTGCCAACCTGAGCTCATTCAGTTGCACTGATAGCAGACCGTCTCCATGCTTTTTGTTATCTCGATGCACTGCAGTCACAGATCTGGTCTGTGTCTTAGTAGAAAACTCATTGCTCAGAGGTCGAGAAGTTTTAGCTGTGCCGTGACCTCTGACCTTGTTTCCTGCTGTGGCTGCAGGGTGAGTTAGTCACACGGTTGATAGATGTTTCCTGTAAAAGTGTTTGTCTGTCGTTGCGTCAGCAGACGCCTGTTTGTGTATCGTGTGAAAAAGTCCACGTCCAGCTCAACCCTGAGCTTCCCCACATTTCTGTGCCTGCTGTTTCCCACAATGCATTCTGATACTCTCCCCACCAGGAAACTCTATCCTGAGCAATGGCACATTTGGGACGAGGTGGAATTCCATTATTTTAGACACGCTGTGAGTGTGTGTCCAGTCAGATTCCCCGGAGGTGAAATCACTGCTGTCAGGCGTTCCATCATTTTTCACTCTGTTCAGCCTCTGCTCCATCCCCCGAGTCAGACCTGACCTGCGAAATGATCCAGCACACACACACACACACACACACACACGCACTTTGTTTTTATATCTTTGTGAGGACATCTCATTGACATAATGCTAACCCTTACCATCTAAAGTGAATGCCTAACTCTCAGTCTATCCCTAAACGTAACCTAACTGTCACCCTGACACTAAAACCACATTTTGAGTCTTAAAAATGCCTTCAAACTTGTGGGGACTGGGATCTTAGTGTCCCCATAAGGCTGTTGGGCCCCACAAGCACAGTAAACCTCCAATTTTTGGTCCCCACAAAGATATGAACACACACACACACACACACACACACACACACACACGCTCTGTGTGTTTACATATCAGCTGACAGTTTGAAGCAGAGTGTGACAGAAACCTCTCCAGCTTTAAGAGCCTCTTGAGTCTGAGAGACTAAACTACAGCGAGAGTGACCTCGCTGATGGACCTGGAGCTGAAACCACATCATCGTCAGCTGTTACACTCGCCCTAAGTGATGTGGTCTAATGCAAACGTCACAGCAAGCCTTCACACTCAGATTCAATGATGTGCGTTACATATACAAAACAGATGAATGTCCCCACAGCATGAGTAATACGAGCACACACACACACACACACACACACTGTAATGCCTCTTTTGTCTGAGCTGTTTGAGTTCAGGTAATGATGGTGATAAATGATGATAATTACTCTGTACTACATACTTGGTGCTGCAGTGTTTGACTCCAGGTCTGACTGATTTTTCTTTTTAAGGCTTTCATCCAGCATCGTCTCCTTTTTCTGAGAACTGCAGCTCCTTTCTACCAGGAAATCTTTTCAAGGCTGCAAGCCTGTAAAGAATAAGAAGGCCGATGCGCTCGAGCTCCGACTGAAGCAGCCTTCACTCAGAGTTATGTGTAGTTCGAGACATAAAAGCAGCTCTTCGGGTTGACTCGGAACAAAAGACAGTAAGCACTCGCGGTCGTAAAGCCGTAAAGTTTAGTGTCTCCATCCATAAAATAAAAAAACTCATTTAAATCTGGGCACCTGCCCTCCTGACACTAATGTGTACTCCCCTTTGTCTGAATCTAGAGATACGTGAAGTCCATTTGCACTTAGTAACCTTCAGTCTTATTGGACATCAGCAGGTCAGCTGCACAAAGGTCACATTCAGCGTGTGCATGTAAGCAGAGGAAGCAGGCACGCTGAACAGGTTCAGGTTTTTGTACCAAAGGTCAGGTGGATCAACATTACTCCAGAACCTGAGCTCTGGTAGCTCTGTGCTGCCTCAGAAACGCACACAGCTCCACAGTTTGTGCTATGCTTCAGCAGTGGTAGGTTTGATTGGTAAACGCTGGGACTGCCTCCTGTTTTGCCTTAAATCTTTGCTGCAGAGAGGAGAGAGACCGAGTCCAGATCCAGAACAAAGACTGCTCTGTTTCTGCAGCACAGAAACCAGGACAGGGTCAGAGTGATGGATAACTCTGTGCTTCCCAGTGTCCATGTGAGAGGCAGAGGGAGGGGATTTATTGCTTTTTATTCAGAGGTAGCGGTCAGTGAGAGTGTCTCCATCCAAAAGGTTGAGCATATTAAAGCATAAATGTCTCTGAAGGTTAATGAGCAAAAGTAGACGAGGTGAACTCGGGCTCGTTAAAAGTTACTCTGATATGAGAGGAACCTGCACAGGGACAGATGTTAACACCTCACTGTTGAACCCTGCTATCAGCTCTTAGCACATAAACCATCCTGACGCTTGTCTGTAATTACTCTTCCCAGTTACAGTTACACGTTAGTCGGGCCATGAAGTAAAGGTCGCCATCCTGGCAGGCTCCCTTCTACATGGCCAGCTAGTAAAAACCCAAACTATGAATTATTTTATCTTGTTTACTGTAGATACAGGTACTGTTTTTATTTAAAAGTACTGTTAGTTACCTGATCTCAGCTAGACTAGAGCCAAAGTAGAACCATGTAGTTGTTGTAGCACCGTTGTATCTGCGGTTTAACCTGACGATAGCCGTCAGAACGTCACATCTCCATGTGTGAGGAGCCCTATCGCATCAAAAAGTGTAATAAAAGGTTGATGTTTGTGTTGTACTCAGTGGGAATTTAAGGGAATAAACTGACTGATGTTGCTGTTTAAGCTCCTCCATGCTTCCCACAGTTGTTGGTCACCTGCAAGCTGCTTTGCAACCCACATCTATCCTGTGACTCTTAAATGAAGTCAGAGCACAGGTGTCGAACTCCAGGCCTCGAGGGCCGGTGTCCTGCAGGTCTTAGATGTGTCCGTGATACAACACAGCTGATTTAAAGGCTAAATGACCTCCTCAACATGTCTTGAAGTTCTCCAGAGGCCTGGTAATGAACTAATCATGTGATTCAGGTGTGTTGACCCAGGGTGAGATCTGAAACCTGCAGGACACCGGCCCTCGAGGCCTGGAGTTCGACACCCCTGAGTTAGAGGAAGCAGTTCTTGATACTCGAGACTTTTTCTGCCTGTGAAACAAATGCATTGGGTGCTACTGTTATATGATAAACTCTGGAGTAAGTGAACGAGAAAGCAGCCCGTCCTCCGTGATGGAAATGTCTCCGGGAACTAGCTGCAAGGCTCTTTCACATCTGCCCGGCTGAACGGTGCGCTGTGAAATAACGGTAAATGTCAGGTTGTGTGTCTCAGCCCTGACGCCGCACGACTGACAGCACACAGTCGCTGGCAAGAGGACCATAGAGACTACAAATCCAGGTTAATGCACATGCTCTGTGGGGCCCGGAGGACCTTTACAGGGTCTGCACACAGTTAGCAACTTGAACCAGTCTCTGAGGAAATCCGAGCTTTCCTCAGAGACGGGTTCAAACTGAGGCTGTGTGCAGAGGCATGAAGCTGGATTTATGTAAAGTCTCACATGGAGCAGACTTACTGTAGAGTTTATATCTGTCCAGCGCCAGAAAACCCTCTAATTAAAAACCTCCTCCGCCCTTCTTTCTTTCTGGCTCCCTGTGAAGCTGATTAGCCCGAGCTCCTTCACAGCCCAGCGGTTATCAT